GATGGGTGGGCTTTGCTCTGTAGGGAAGATCTTTTCAGAATGTGGGAACTCCAAGGCCCGTGGGAGATTTAGGCAGGGGGAGGGAGGGGCTGAAAATGGGGTAACGATGTGTCCCCCACACAATGGCTGCCTGCAGGGGCCCTTCCGAGCGATGCCAGACTGTCGGGGGGGGGGGACATCGAGCCCTGAGGAGGGTCTGCCTCCCCGCTGCCCCCCAGGGTAGACTGCGCATCCTTTCCACACACCGGGGCGTCTCTCACTGCGGGTTCTCAGAGGTGAGGACATCCCTGAAAGAGAAGAATCGGGACTGGGAAAACTGACCCTCGAGGTCAGTTCAGGAAGCCACAGGGCACTCGAAGGAAACCGAAGCGTTGAGTCACCCCACATGCAGCTCTCCCCCCAGGCCAGGACCCCGGGGGTGGGGGCGTAGGTCCCACGGGGCTGGGGGACAGGTGCCCTGCGGCTAAGGGAGGGAGCTGTGGATACCACCCGGTGCCAGGGGCCTAGCGGGCTGGGCCTAGACTCTGCTCCGCCCCTGCTGGTGAGAACAGTGTCCGGATTATGACAGCCGCATTCAGCACCCCCCTCCCCCCATGTTGCTAAACCGTCTTCTCCTTTTGCTGGAGGACACTGGCCAATTTCAGCAGCTCAGATGACTTGGGGGGAGGGTGCTGTGGCCTCACACATGCCTACCCTGTGCCTGAGGGGTCTGTGGGCATCCTGCTCCGGGATGGTGTCTCTGGGCTCTGAGGACACCTCCTCCGTGGGAGGCCGGCTTTCTCCTTCTACTCCCCTCGGTGGGTGGCCTTCCTAAGCTTCACTGGGCGAGATCCAGGCCCCCGTGTCTGTGAGTCAGCACCCTGGGGTGCTTCCGGCTGAACGTTTCCCATCGCGGAGAAACGTGCACCCCTCACCCTTCTGCCCCCCACAGTCCCCTGGGAACAAGGACAGCGTGGGAGGGGGCACCCCTCCAGTACTTGGTGGGGGGGGGGTCTGAGGGGAAATGGCAGCCCCAGGCTGGAGCCAGGCTGGGGCTAGAAAGTCAGGAAAACGGGCATTAACTTGGCCAAAGCTGGGCCTGGAACCAGTGCCAAGCCCCGCGTCTCGGGACCCTCGAGGCGTCCACCTGATGAGTGCTTCTGAAGTACCCGCCCGGCCCCGGGCACAGAGGCAGGGCGGCGCCCTGTCTAGAGCTCGCCACTGGCTGATGGTGAGGCTGAGGGGGCACCTGGGAGCTGGGCCCCCCACCCTAGCCCCCCTTTCCTCCCTTCACCCCCAGTGGCCTCCTTCCCCGGGCTGCCGGGAACTGGGGCTGCGGACCAGGCCATCCCAGGTGAGCTGTAGGCCACAGAGCAGGAGGACCACTGTCTGGTCCCATCTCTACATGCCCACTCGGTCCACTGGCCCAGTCCAGGCCAGGAGGGTGGGCAGTTACTGGGAGGAGCCAGCCGCAGCCCTCTGGGGGCTCCATGTCTGCAGTGGGTGGGGACCATGCCCGACTCCGCAGACTGGGGGTTGCCCACCCAATGTGTCTTGATGCCAGACTCCCAGGAAGACAGATAGGTAGGGCTGGGAGAAGAGGGGGAAGCGGGGAGCCCTGGCCCCCAGGATTTTGAGGGAGAAGGGCAAAGGAAACTGTAGCCTCCCCACATGCCCCACATCCCAGAGACCCACAGCAAAGAGCTAGATACAGTGCACCTGTATCACATGGGCCGTAGCTCGGAGCTGGCGTTACCCCAGAGTGCCCTGCATGCCTCACCCCACGTCCCCCGGACAGAAAATGAGGGGCTCTGCTCTGGGGTGTGGGAGGGTTCAAACAGATCTCCCTCCAGGGTTTCTGGGAGGGCTGCACGTCCAGAGGGCGGCGCCAGAGACCCTCCCGAGTGACCCCAGGGCTGAGGTCCCACAGAGCCAGGGCTGTCCCTCCGGGTCTCCGACAGCAGGTCTGCGGGGGTTTGGGGAGTGGTGATTTCAGTTGTCATGAATTTTATTTCCAAAAAAAAAAAAAAGTTTAATGCACCCTAATTGTCACAAAGCACGGGAAATAATTGTAGTTCTGAGTGAACTGTTTTTATGTAAAATAATGTTCATTATAATTTGTATTTTGCCTTTTGATTCTAAAAGAGGATTTTTAATAACAGAAGAAAAAAAAACTACCTTTAAAAGACGTATATAAACTAAATTGGCAGCCGCGGTTGGGGGCCTCGAGGAGGAGCACTGTCCTGGGAGCCCACCGGCCTTGCCGGGACTGGGGCGTGCTGTCCCAGGCCCCCGGCGCCCGCGGTCCCACAGGCGGGTACACCGTTGGCCCTGGGGGGGGGG